GGGGGGGGGGGAGGTATATGTACGAACCCGATCGAAATTAGCCGGCTCTTAACCAAAAGTGGCGGTAACGCAAGTGGAACTAAGTGAGATGCGATAGGACACCAGGGGACCTCGCGATGAGGCACCTCCCCGCGCGACAAAAACGCCGACCGCACGATAGCAGAGGAAAAATACCGAGGCCGACGTAACGTCGCACCCCAAAGTGAAATAAAAGCGCTGAAATTGTATTATTTTGTTCATTTACTCTTCACACCCTTACATGTTCTTCATATCCTTACTTTTAATCTTACATATTTTTTTATTACACGGAAAAGGATCATTTTTCATTCTTTCCCGATCATCTTGAACAAGTAAGAAAACGGACAATCAACCACCGGCAGCTTCAACTGCGGCTGCGTTCCGATATTCAGTACTGAAAATCTATCTAGTACATGATCAGTGACGAAAAGATCGCAACGTTTTTTCTCTGACGAGTTTCTCGCGGTAGGGGTACAACTAATGAGAATGCACTATTACTGGACAGTAATTGGATGGGTGTTTAGGAAAATTGCATGCATTTCCACCGGGGCGAGTTCGATGCTTCATAACCGGGAAACATGGGTATGTCCGTACGGATAAAAGTGAAGAATAAAAAATACGTTTCGCGCGCGCATGAACGCTGCCAGCCACTTCTCGTGCGCGCACTTAACTTCCTTTCACCTTGCACTTTCGATCGCGCCCTTAAAAATAGGAATTATCAAAAGCGGCTGATGTAATGATTTCACGATTATCTTTCCCCATCTCTTCCCTTTGACTTCTCCTTGATGTGCCGCCCCGAGCTTTCTCTCTCATGCGCGCGGTAATGTCGCGCGATTCCTCGCATACTTTCGGAATATACTCGGAGCGCAAGATCGGAGCCGCGCGTCGTTCCACCTGTTCCGATTTCGAGACCGTCATTTTTTCGGGAGCCCGCGCCAGCGAAGCTCTCCCTTTCTTTGTCCCGAAGCGCCCGTCGACTAAGACCGCGTCCGAATCATCAATTTATTATAACGAGGCGCGCTCGTAGACATTTGTCAGAACATTATGCCGCGCTGTGGTCGGCCGCGCGATGCGCCGCAGCGGTAATAATTCTCGATGCGTACCGGAGGGCAATGCGGGGACGCGCGCAGTAACGGCCTGGTGCGTCCGTTCATTCGTTCCTCCGTACGTCGCGAAACAAGTTTTTCGGTAATTTTACTGGCATACCGGTCCGCCGCTTGTCTGTCTTTGCTCGCTCTGACAGCGTCACCGTGGTATAATCACTTCCTGAGCCTAATGGCCTAGCGCGGTAAAAGAGCGTCGAAAAACTCGCCGATTGTCCGGGGAGAAATTAATCAATATCGTCGCGGATATCACCAATGTCCGAACGCGTGCCTAACTGCGGACACTCCTGTTGTTTTAGTTTTAGATACGAATATTTAAATCTTTTAAATACTTATATATATTCAATATATGTATATATATTCAATGTTGAAAGTCTGAATATTCATATTTAAGGACCGAAATAACAAGAATGTCCAGTTAGGTGCGTGTACAAGCATTGGTACTTTCACCTTAAACGCGTCGCTAAGCGGACGGTTCGCGTTGGTTTTCTCCAAAATTGAATAAATTTTTTTGATTCCTCAGTGTATGGAAAATCGACCCGAGTCGAAATTTTCAATTTTACATCGAATCTTCGAGCGGAGAAAACGGAAATAAGTTCTCACTTGTGGCATTCTCAAAGGAGCACAACAGGAGGGCATTTGAAAACATGACGTAGAACTAAATTAGACTTAAAGTGAGACTAAATTCCGACTCGAGGGGTCCCGAAATTGTCCCGTGATTTGACGCTGGTGCTCGATCAACGATATCATTTAC